TTAGCCGTATATTACTGTATTATATAATACGGCAATGACATCATTCGAAATTACTATCGGTGGATATTTTCACAAAATTATATGGTAATAGAATAAAAAGAAAACTTGTGTTACCGTAGTCAGCACGAATAATTTGATCAACTCTTTAAGCTAATTAAATGCTTAGTTAACGTTTGGAAAGGTACTGCAAACCATGAACATATTTAACGCTGCAAATGGTTATGTTCTCAACCAAAAAATCAGCCTTGTAACTGATGGATTTTAATGGATTTCATTAATTGTGATGTTTCAGAATTTAATTCCATGTATTTCACACAAAAAAACGTTTGAGATAAAATTTGTAGCGAACTTATTAAACATAATAAATTTCTGTGGTTTGGATTTTTATTTGTAGATTATATTTTTATATTTTTCAAGCCTTTTATGTCTGAAAATTTACACCATTTAATTTTAAATATTATTTTAATCACCATGCACATAGCACATTGCATATTACACAATTACTGATATTACCAATACAAATCCATTTCGAAAAATGAATCCATTTTTTCACATGAATGATAGAATTATTTAACATTCAAAGCAATCATTGTTATTTTAACTGAATAAAAATTTGTACAAAATGCCCCACTTTATCATACCTAAAATTAATTACCCCAGCAGAGGAGTTGATAATATGTCATGATATGATTGAAAGAGTCTCAGCTCAGTTTAAAAAGTTTCATTACTCAGTATAATTTGGGTTGTAAGGAGGAGGGGCAGAGGCGTCTCCAGGTTGTGATGAATATCTAAGTTGAGGTTGTGCTGGGTAACTGAGTGGTGGATAGCTGGGTTGAGGTGGGTAACCAGGTTGAGGTTGTGCTGGATAACCAGTTTGAGGTTGTGCTGGATAACCAGGTTGAGGTTGTGCTGGATAACCAGTTTGAGGTTGTGCTGGGTAACCAGGTTGAGGTTGTGCTGGATAACCAGGTTGAGGTTGTGGTGGATAGCTGGGTTGAGGTTGTGCTGGGTAACCAGGTTGAGGTTGTGGTGGGTAACCAGGGTTTGCGAACTGTGGCTGAGCTGGAGGTTGTTGAGATTGCTGTACGACGTTGATGTTCTGTATAATCGGTTGCGGGGCTGGTGCAGCAGCAGTTTGTTGAATTACCACATTAGTCTGATTTACATTAGCAATTTCCCTTCTCCTCGACCTTCTCCTGCAGCAGTAGTAGCAGCAACCTACCAATATCAGGAAAGACACCACACCTCCTATAGAGCCACTCACTGTAACCGTTGTAACAGAAGTCGAGCTACAGTATGCCTTCCCAGAGGTGCTATTGTAACTACAGGTGTAGTTGCCATTGCAGTCGATACCGTCCCCTCCGTAATAGCTGTACGCGCACGTCGGATAATCTGAAAATGATGAATCGTATAATCCCGACTCAAGTAAAATATCATTAATATTTGTCGAGAAGCGTTTGGATATATCTAATTGTCCCAAGTGGAATATATCATTATTATCTGTGGACAAGAGGTTTGCATTATGTTATATATTATATATAACAGAAAATAGAAAATTCTGATTAATGGAAAATAATTTTTGATACATCACAGTTTGCCGTACCCCAATTTACCATACTATTTTCCCTTCCCCAATTTGTACGATAAATTGGGGTTTACTGTAGATATATTTAAATTAGTAAAAAGATTCTTACTAGACCAAGCAGTTCTGCAAATATTGTTTGAATTGTCACAATCAATGTACGTCCCGCTGAAGGAACCTTCTCCCTCGCACTTTTGATCATAACAATCCCAAGTCGAAGTCCGTACCGTTCCAACCAATGTAAGTGTCAGGAGAATAGATGGAAATATCATGAGCATCTTTAAATCACTAGTATCTTAGTATTAGGATATTCGAACAACCTAAAGATCGCTCTAAGGTTTTACGACAACAACGGAACAAAGAGATGGCTGAAAATAATGTATATATAACAGGCTTTCTCGTCTTACCAGGCCATGGTAATAAGAGCTGATGAATACAGTTGGAGATTGCAGTCACGTGACGGTTAAAGAGTGGAGGCTGGTCGACCTCAATTGAACGTTACGTAATCTGAACGATCTATTAGGTGATAATTGGTGACAAGATTTATCAATTTTGGCACCTCAGTAATCCACTGACCAACGGTGTACACAAGGTAAGCACACATCAAATGAACATGTAGTTTGATGTTGCGAAAGGAAAAGTTCAAGGCACGAGGTACGGATACTTAGTAACGAAGTTACTGTTATATTATGATGAGGGAGCATGGCAACGAAATTACGTAACATAACTAAGAGTCCTAAAGGTGGATATTTTAACAGAATTATATGTTATAGAATATATGAACAAACTTTCGTAACCATGGTCACTATGAGCCGACCTTATCACGTAAATGTGGCACTGTGGCACACATGTGCGTGTCGCAAGTGTCGCATGTTACATATATGATAGTGCCACTTGTTGATGCCACATGTTGATGCCACGGCTGTGGAAGGTGCATCGAGTGTCACGTGATTTGTGTTTCTGATATGTGATTGGCTGTTGTTTCTGATAGTGTTGGGATGGTGGAAGGTGAAGGTTGTTTCTTAGAAAGTCTGTAGGAATGAATTTATGAGGGAGGTACTTATTGGTACTACTAAATGGTGTAAAGTTAAAGTGCTGAAAATTGTGGAAAATGCTTTGTGAAATTAGTGTGAGTTTAGCTGGAGCCGTCCGGGAATAAAACATGAGATATTAGTATTAACCCGAATACTTTTTAATAAAGTTATTCGTAATTAAACAAGTCAACCTTGCATTGCAACCAATGGATTACAAATTACAATTGACTGCATCAATTATGATATTTTAGAATTTAATTCCATATATTTCGTAACTTTTCAAAAAATATATGCAAAATATACTCATGTCCGCTACTAGACTATATTTTCCATTAAACATTTAAACTGACAGGGAGCGATAGTTAAGCAATTTGCGTGGCCATTTCAGCCCCGCACAAAAACAGGAACTAAATTATTTGTGTGACGGCATAAGAGTCATGGATCGGGAAAAACTTTCGAAAAGTGAATCACATTTTTCACATGAATGATAGAATTATTTAACATTCATAGCAATCATTATTATTTTAACTGAATAAAAACTTGTACAAAATGCCCCACTTTATCATACCTAAGATTAATTACCCCAGCAGGGGAGTAAGTGTATTATGATATGATCGAAAGAGTCTCAGTTTAGTTTTAAAAGTTTCATTACTCAGTATAGTTTGGGTTGTAAGGAGGAGGGGCAGATGCGTCTCCAGGTTGTGGTTGAGGGGCAAAACCAGGTTGTGCTGGATATCCAGGCTGAGGTTGTGCTGGATATCCAGGTTGAGGTTGTGCTGGATATCCAGGTTGAGGTTGTGCTGGATATCCAGGTTGAGGTTGTGCAGGATATCCAGGCTGAGGTTGTGCAGGATAACCAGGTTGAGGTTGTGCTGGGTATCCAGGCTGAGGTTGTGCAGGATAACCAGGTTGAGGTTGTGCTGGATAACCAGGGTTTGCAAAGCCCTGCTGCTGAGGAAAGTAAGGTTGAGGTGGAGGTTGAGGTTGCTGTACGACGTTAATGTTCTGAATAACAGTGGGTTGTGGGGCTGGTGCAGCAGTGGTCTGCTGCACTATAACTGTCTGCTGCTGGTTGCCAGCTGCACGTCTCCGTCTTTTACAGCAATAGCAACAGCAGCAGAACAATATTAGGAAGAAAACCAGTGTAGATACCCCTCCCCCGATGTAGCCACCAGTAGAATTACAGTATGCATCTCCAGTAACGCTATCAGAGCTGCAGTAGTAACTTCCATAACAATCACAACCGTAACCTCCATAACTGTTATAATTACATGTCGGGTAGCCTGAAAAATTTGTTGGATTAACTTTGCATTACAAAAACACACATTCAAATTCATCGAGTTGATTCTTTTAGAGATTTAGAGATTTAGAGATTTAGAGATTTGGAGATTTGGAGATTTGGAGATCTGGCCCGTTCACACCGTGCTTCTTAATATTTCTATGCAAATATTCCCTCGGATTAAATATTAATAGATCTAACCATTAGAGCTGAAGCCACAGATGTCTATTTCTTGGTCACAAGCTATGTAGGTATCGTTATAGAAACCTTCTCCTTTACATTTTTGATCATAACAATCCCAAACAGTTGTTTGTACCACGCTTATCAGAATCAGAATCAGGAGGGCACTGTGGGTCATCCTTATCATCCTTCTTATCCTGTATCGATTAAGATTGTGAGTCACACGAAGTTGAGTAACAGTTTACCTGAGAACTACCCATTGTCAGATGTTTTGATAAACTTTATTTGATAATAGCAATAAGAAATCAGGCAAAAATACAATCAGTGCCTTTCATTAAATTCGAAAAAAAATTCTGCTTCAAAACTTGAAACAAAACAAACTAATGAAACTGCCGTTAAAAGGATATGGTATTCTAGCCAAAGCATAACACAATCACGAGTTCTATCTAAAGAGAACAGTATTTCGTCAACTGTCGAGAAACTCTACCTTCTGTTATCTTTATACAAAGGTTACATATCCTGTTGCCAAGCAGTCGCTTCTTACGACTCTTATCTTGAAATTTGATAGTTGATACACCTATGACGCAAGTGACTTATCAAGCATACAACTTTTGGCTTTTGAAATTATTTAAAAGTTGGGTGTTATCTCTTTTATCAGCAAGTGAAGGTTGTTAAGCAGCACTTAGTGATTGTTGTAAATGTGCTCTGGGTCTGATGATGTGTGAAATCTCTTGTTTGTACATTGAACATTAAATTTAACGTTTCCAGTTTGGCGGTTTATTGTCTCTTGCCATATAATTTCTTAAAACCTTCAATTCACCATTTCGCCATCAATTTTAGCAATTTATATGGCAAACATGGCGATTATCTTATCTTATTTGTACAATCATATTGTGTTTAGTTACTAATCCTCCCCTAATTTCAGTTGCCAAGATGTTCTGTACGCCTCTTTACGTGGTCTGTCATCGTATATTGACTCTGCTACTGATTCCACCTTGTTATCTAATCAAATCCAAACCGAGATTAGACATTGGTTAACTTCTATTATTCGGTAAGTCACCTCTTGGTATTTAGCTTTTTAACTTAAAGTTATTTAACCTTTTTTTTCTAATATCCATAACTTCCCTTTTCAACAACGTACTGTGCAGTGGTAATTCAGATCCAATATCGTATCATTATCATCTAACGCACCTTCAAAAGGTCTACTTTATAAATCATATCAGTTGATCAAGATAATATCCAGGTTACCCGATTATACACCCAACATTTTCGAATCTCCTGTGGAAGCTGTTATCAGCCTCACTGAAAGTCTCCTATTTTCTAACTTCCCCACCATGGCTGAGGATGGACTCTTTGCTTTGTACGCCAAGTAAGTGAGCTACTCTGGAGTGTGTTGCCACCTTGTTATCTCAATACTGCTAGGTTGCTAAGGTTGCAGTGCATCACCATAGTTATTGTATCAGTTTATAAACTTGGAAAAGTTCGACTTGTACTTTTAGTGGTTGCGTTTTGAAAGAGTGGTTGTGTTATTTAAAAAGTTCTTGCTAAGTTCTTACTGACCGAGTCTGAACATGGTTAATTGGACAGTCTCAACAAACAGACTGTGACTGACATTTTACTGACAGACTGTGACCGACAGTTTACTGACAGATAACAGCCAATATGACAGCAATACAGACCGTCAGAATGCTAGAAGGTAAAAACTTCCTAATAGTTCCTATCCTGTTTTCTTTATATTAATTAAAGTTTATACCTATTTTGTGTAAATTGATAGTAAACAGCAATATATTAACATGCTTCATGATCTTAAATTCACAGCTGTTTTATATTCACAAACAACAGTACCGTTCGCAGGTATCCAGTCATATACATGAGCCCAGACGATGTTGAAATATACTCCAGACAGATACTATCTCGATTCTATCTCCCTAAATCAGTGATAAGCGTGGTCCCTTATAGTCTCTCCTCTCCTAACTCCAGGACACTTGATATCAAAGCGTTTGAGCGAATTATATCGGATGATATATCTTGTGGCAAATTACCTTTGTTAGCTATTACCACTGTTGGTGAGTTATCAAATTTCTTCAATCGTTGCTTTCACACGTTACTCTCCTTCAGTCAAGCTATGGTCTTTATCATTTCTTAAAGTTCTTACTATAAATAGTATAATTAATAGTATGTAAGTCGCATTGTTGTGATATAAATAGTATAGCATACATCTCGATGGCAGGAAACGATTTTATGTGAATGCAGTGATATTCATAAATACATACAGGACACGGCAAATAATTAATCATATTGCACGAATACTGCAAGATTTGTTCCACGAATTGTTTGCCCCAACCTTGCATAGTGCAATCGTATATTGTTATCAGTTATTATGCTACTCTGGGGAAGTTTTCCACTCCACCGTTTTCGTCCTTATCGTCCTTTCCTGAAAAGTCTGATATAGCCGTTTTACAGATACGTTGTTACGCCAGATCTCTATGAGACCGCCTCTGACTACAAATAAGTCACATAATGGCAATTCTTTATTTTATACATTAGATCATGTACGGCGCGGAGACATTCTTGTGAAAACTATGTCGATGTGCTTGCTTACTAATTTTACGTATAACACGCGCGCACGCATGTTTACACTGCGCGAGACGTGTCTTTGCTCGATTAGGTGAGCCTATCTAGCTAATAAGAAACTCCCGGAATAGCTCTAATTGTACTGCAATGTACTGTGTAACCCAGTATAGACCAATCAGTCTGATGTCAATAGGAATATTGGTCTACCTTTTGTTAATTAGTCTCGTGTAGTTGAGCGCGATCATTGCACTACATTGCACTTTTAGACTCACATCTTTAACCCACAATTTCGACTCCACGTCTCGGTGCTGTGACCTGTGCCTGGAACTCCCTAACACTTCAATTTATTCATTATATAACATTATTATAATGATACATGGCTCTTCCAACAGGGACGAAGGTAACAGGACATATCGACAATATCCCAGCAATCAAATACATGTGTGACAAACACGGCATTTGGCTACACGCCAAAGGGTAAGCTTACCAACAACTTCTGTGTTTTTTAGGAATTTGGTTGACACGTTCTAAGACTTGTGGTCCTATTGATAGAGCTTATATTTGCGATAATTCACGTCAGCAACTTTGTCCCTGGAACTGAGATCAAAGTAAACAAAGATGTTTCTTGATAAGCGAACATGTTATTTATTTTCCATTAACAACCAATATAGAATTGCCGTTGACTTCTTGAAGTTCCAAACATTTAACTTTAAAACAGGTTAATTGATTGGTTGCGCTTGCAGGTCCTGCAGCCCTCTGCTATCACTGGACACACCCCCGGCTACGGTTAAGGTATTTGAAGAATGTGATAGTGTTTCAGTGTCATGTGACACGCTGCTCTGTGACACTTTCATCCAGACGAGTGTCCTTTTCATCAACTCTGAGAGCGACCACGTGACCAATACGCCAAAGTTGGAAGTTGAACTTCCGTTGTGGGTCCTCCTCCAACACCAGGGTAATTTTTTTTTTAAGAGTTTCATTTCGTTATTTACCTACGTGAAATGTTTTTTTCTTTCTTAGAAGACCAATTCCATGAAATATACATAATGTATAGATTTTAATTAACTTCTATTCACCCAAATCTTATTCTTCAAGGCAGCTCGAAGATAATTAGCCAAATACAAAACTCGTACAATCTTGCCGTGCAACTGTACAATGAACTGAAGAGCATTGAGAGCATCCAACTTCTGGTAAGAAAATCGATCACTTGTGACTACTTTTAACCATTCTATTTGACTCAAGATAAGAGTCAATAGATAATAAAATAAAGTAAATAACTATCCTTAGAGTTGGGCAGTGAGAAGAGACCTGCTGTGATTGTAGACTAATTTAAAGAACGGACACCATCATCCAATTAAAAATCGTTGATAATACGTAATATTTCTGTACAAACTCTAAAAACCTCCTGTTAATTCCAGGAATATCCTCTGACGGGGCACGTGCTTTGTTTCCGGTACTACAGTTTACTGGAAAACATTCCAGACCTTGCTGAGCAGGATCCGATGAACAACCTCATGTCTAAACTAACTCTTATGGTACGTAACTCATCAAAGAAATAAGATTGTTTCATTTTTGTGAAGCATATTTTAAAGACCTCTTTTGGCAAACTACCGAGATTTCTGGGATTTTTAGCTAAACCAACCTTAAATCAACCTAATACTAATAATGGAATGATATTTTTTACCTTCACTTCAGCTCACCACTTGTTCATGATTATGAACATTTTATCGTTATCAAAGTCATCATATGAAAAATGTTCTGAGAATTTCTCCTTCAGGAACCAGTAGTCTTGCTTTAAATTTGCTTAAATCAATACTAAAAACTAACTCCTCAGATGTACGAAACACTAGAACAGCAGTTTGGATCTGACAAGTTACAGCTGATTGAACTGTCTGGTGAACTAAATGTTATCAGACTGGCACCTCTGGACAAATCCTCTCTGACCCTGGACGACATGCCTCTACTACTTTCCACAATCCGAGAAGAGGTCACCAAGTATGAGACCTCTCTGGGTCTGAGGGAGACGCTTAACCTGCAGATTCAGAGTAGAGACAACTTCCTTCTTGTTATCGACCCATTGCATCCTAGTGTTGGAGCTTTCCAGTGAGTTTTAAACGAGTTTTATTGACTCGTTCAGTACTGGATGAATCAGACCTGAAGCTCACTACCCACATCCATATTATGTTACTTTTATATCTAATCTTCAAAAATCAATTTATTCAACTTACTATGTCTGGGCATGGAAAAATTCAACACCGACAGTATTACAACACTGAATCTGTGCAGGTATTTGCCGAAATATCTCCAAGATGAGGAAGCCTGCAATACATTGGAGGGTGGAGAGGAGTTGAACGAGATAAACGAGAAATTATGTCAGTATTTGGGGGACAGGTGGCCGGTCATTGCTACTCGACAAGTCGCCAAATTCACCGTTATTTCTATTCCTCTGGTGAGTAGTCACTAGTTTTCGTTCCTCTTCGTAATAAAGAAGTTCAAATAATATTATAAATATATAGCTATAGTGCATTTAACAACAAATTACTTGGAGTGGGAAAGAAATTATAGAGATTTTGGCACAATTCTCCCTGAAAAATTGGAGCGTCACAATCCACTGAACCTGCATCATTTTAAGTATTATCTCAGGTATCAGAAACGATCGATGTCCGTGCATTGCTCGATGACATTGTTAGAACGGCACCTAAGTTTGAAAACAACAGCAAATACCTCGCCAGAATGTCTGAAATTATCATGAGGTATTCTTTTTGTTAAAAACTTTTCTTTACTGGTCCGTCCTCCTCTAAATTACACAATTTTCACAATGGCCGACGTATTGTTTAAATTGATACATGTATACACTATACACTGTGATCTGTATAGTGTATACACTCTATGTATACAATTTTTTTGTTCCTGCAGATTAAACTGATAATATTGACTAACTTAAATTCTGTTATATAATATAAATTCTGTGCCACAGAGGAATAGACCTAGCGAACGAGGAGCTGCAATTAGAGTCAGAGCAGCAGTTTTACGAAAAAGGAATTATTCGAAATATTCCTATTTTTGGTCCAGTCTTCAACTGGATGTCCCCAATTGAGGACAAGATAATTGTCGGTAGATCCTTCTCGTTACATTCAGGTAAAGCTCAATCACATGATCACGTGACATTTCAAATGTATATTTATCTCCTGATCCACTATACTACTATTCCATATGTTTTAAAGTTTTAACTGTATCTGTTATTTCATTAACTTTTGATTTTAACATTTGCCGACTCCCGTTATAAACAAAATTATTGTGGAATTGGGCTATTTGATTAAAACTTATAGTTTTTTTTTGCATTAACGATGTGATATTTAAGGAGAAGTGGAGGCAACAGATACAGTCTTCTCTGTGGCCGGAACTCCAGCTAGATCAAGAACTACCAGCACTTCTTCATATGTCCATGGTTAGTTCGTTATAAGCTGTTAGTTCAGTGTTCACTAAGTTTCTGTGTTTTGATAGTTTGAAACAATCATGGCCCAAATCATACGTTTTTGGTTTAATTATCATAGACACGTTGCCGATAGCAAAATTCAAAACATTTACCAATTTTCAGATCCACAAGTATGATCAAAATTTAAAGCCACAGATGAGTTTTAAAATTGATCAAAATTAATCTCTCTCTCTGCCGCAACACGTTCATCTCTTCCGTTGATGATAGATCCCTACTGGATGATGGATCCTTTACTGAGCTGCTACTTTGTTGAATAGTTTATTTATAGTTTATGTTATGGTTATGTATTTTCTAATTAAAGACTGTTGGTATTTGCTTGATAAAATGTAATAATTATAAGTAAGATTATGGATTTTGTAAATGTATGTATTGTTTTAGATCGTAGTATTTTGAGAATATTTATTAGTATGAAATAAGTGTAATAAACTCTTTACAACACAAAGATAACTAATTATTGATATGAATGCTGAAAAGTGGAAGTTATACAAATTGACAGAATATTGTGTTTTTTGACTGCCGTGAATTATTTGAAATATTATTGCTTTTTGAGTTAGATTTCGTTTTTGATTAAGTATTTTTCCATCCGATTCCTTTTTGTCGCGAAGCAGCAAAAGGGAGGAAGTGATGGTTATGAATGGTGAGAAGAAAGTATTTGGGAGAATGGAATTAACAGCTCTATATTTACCGTCTGTCAGTCTCACTTAACTTTGTACCCCAAGTCGTGCCGCCTGAAATCATAGTCATTCCACGAGATATTGGTCGATAGATTGCGGACAATACAGTGATAGTATTAATATAATTAAACATTTTGGCTAGATTTTAAAATGAACCGGCATTTGATAACTGCAAACACTAACCAATATTGTCATCTAATTAAGAGAAAGCATCATGCTAATTGCTATTGTCAATGGTCGATACGTATGGCAAATAGGTACAATCAACGTATTAACCGGGTTTTGTTCACAATTACATAAATTAATTGGATCAATATTAATTAAAGGATAGAGTTTATTCATGATACAAGCACATAATACATAATATGCATAGATATTGATCGTGCCGCCGTCCGCCACGCCTTGATAAATAGTAGTTTAATACAAGTCACACGATTTAAACAGATACTGGGTCGGGCAAGGTTTAATACTGTGTACTAGTTTTAACGTTTATTGCAATCGTACGATCTTTTTAGTGAGTCTAATTCTGGCGCTTGGCCCACTTACCAAAGTTTTAAATGGTCGCTGTATTAGATATTAAATGGAAAGTTAGTGGCTGTCCCTGGAAACTCGCTCGTTATTTTGTAGGTTTGTAGCTAGGTTATTTCGAATGATATTCTAAGGGGTTGTGTAGAAGTGTGCTCAACCGGAACTCTGTAGTGTCGCAGGCTTTCAGAAAGTTTATATTGTCGTTGAAATGGTGTATTAGCTTTTTAAATAATTTGAGCTTAAATTTTCAAAAAGAGACAAATGTGAGAGAAAATAGTTAAGCCCGAGAAAGGGTGACAGTTTTGTCCGGGATCTGGTTGATCCATGGGACTCAGGTCTCAGCAGTAGTTGCAAACAAGAAACGTGCTCATGGTCGACATTCATTTACATATTGTTCGTCCTTTATATTTTGTGTTTTGACTATAGTTTTGCAATGGGGTTTGCACATCAGCCATAGACATTAGACACTGTATTTGTATTGTGTAAGTATGTATAGTTTCTAAAATTGAGAATAAAAGGCGATAAAAATGCTGATTTAGGGACAAATTATATGTTTTTGTAGGGGCAGGTAGTTAAGTTTTCTGAAACTCGATACATGGTATGATTGAAAACAAATATGAGCCCATTTCTTGACCACCCATGATTCTGACTGTGCAGATTGAGTAGAAATTCAAATATAGCTGCGAAGTGCGAAAGTCTGAGATCGCCGCATCATGAATGGATCCAGCATGATAATATTACCTTAGTATCGCTATGATACTATTAAAAGCTTTTCTGGATTTATATTTGTTGGTGAGGGTCAAGGGATTGTTCACGTACGTATTACTTTTTTACCATTTTAGAACCTCCCTCAGCTCCGATCTTCCTAATTAATGATTAAGCAACTTTACGCCCCTAGGACTAGGAGTAGAAACTATGAACTACTAGCCACTGGATGTTCTACTTTTGACTTGATATATAATGTATGTATGTATAATATATAATAATATGTGAACAGTCCCTAATCCCTAATAATGGTTATACATGTCTTTGCGCATTTCATTAAATATTTAGTTTGATTGCTTAATGCTTGTTGAGTTCGAATATTAAAACCACAGATTGAGCAGATATTCTAGTGGTTTCAGGAGTTCAACTTAATTAATTTGCCGATTGTCTTTGTGTCTGAAATTACAGTTGCACCGGAAACTAGCTTGTATTGTTGAATATGAACAGCTATCAGAATCACTACTAATTTGTCGTTTCATTTCTATATCTTGTCGTTAACTTTAAGATTGTATCACGTCGTGACCCCCATTGTCGTTTCACTAAGTCATAAGTAGCGTTTCTACGATACAGGGGGAGCCGCGCACTCGTGCGCGGCGGGTCAACCGACGTATGACAACTTTAAGACAGTGACAGTCAAATGTCATGATGGTGATAATATCATTGACCAGCACTACTATCAATTGATAGTTCTAGTTTATCGCATATGCGGCAGTACTATCAATTCAAATAACAATTACCAACACAGTTCATGACTGTATGCAATGATTAATTGTACATACTTAGGGGTCGTTCACATATTAATATCACGTAATCAGCTGAGGGGGGTTTTTCGAATGATTACGCTAGTGTAATTTTGACACAATAGCTATGGGTAAAACTGATTACGGAGGGGGGGGGGGGGGCCGGGAGAAAAAATTTTCAAAAAAAATGATTACATAATCAGTAATATATGAGCTCGACCCCTTATAATGCAGTGTACATGCAAATTATACCTAATTACTAAACAGAAACTGTACGAACCGGAACAATATTTCACACGAGAGGGCTCTGGTTAGAGCTTACCTAGCTGGGTTAGAGCTTACCTAGCTGGGGACCTCAAGCTATTATGTTCATAAACATAAAGATTAGGCGGAATGACAGGCTGAGCGCCGCCCAGTAAGTTAGAGCAAAACAACGTTGACAGATGATCATAGTATGATAAGCTCTTAGCTCTTCTGAATTTCTTAAAGTAGCGCGCTACTTTAAGAAAGTCGGCCGTCGCGTCGCGGAGGCCGTGGCAAGTGCTAATTGCTAATACATACGTTGACCATTGTTAATGATCTGGCCCGGCGCGCGCTACTTCGTAGCACTTGCCATCGGGAAGAAAGCGGCGCGCGCTACTTCGAAGAAATTTAGACGAGTAACATCCGTCAAATACATATGCATAATATAAGTTGCACGCGCCAGGTTAGTCCATTAACATGAACAATTATTATTTGACGGATGTTACTCGTCTACATTTCTTCGAAGTAGCGCGCGCGCCGCTTTCTTTTCGAAATATTATGATGGCAAGTCTAGTAGCGCGCGCCGGGCCAGACCATTAACAATGGTTAAATTATTATAAACAAGAACAACAAAGTTTGAGCAAAAAATTGAAGCTAAGCCAACGAATAGTTTCGTGGCACGATCTAAAATTAATATTTATAAGGGCAATTAAACCATATAATACCATTATAGAAGTTTTATATAGGGTTATTGTTATATTATGTGTATATTGTTTTTATAATACCATTATTGATTATTAATTCAAAATCGATTATTGGTAACTGCATAACATAATATAAATTTCATTAATATAATTTTGTTCAATGAGCTTGTAGGTTTACAACCTACCAGGACGCGCGCCGACTTGGACTCGTCCTAATATATAGAACAGATATTATACGAGTATCATATCACCCGTCACCCGTTAACAATGAGCTTGCTTGGGGCCGGGCTTGATAGTTTGCGCGGCGCGTCGAAGCGGTGAAATTCTCCAAATAAATTACAATCAATTGAAGATATGGCGGAAATAGGTCGAGCGCCGCTCAGTAAATGTAATATTTATAGTCTATTGTTGATATTACAAATTGCTGGTACAACCAGAACCTTTTCGAGTTTCGCGCTTGCAATAGCGCGCGTTACGTAATACGCGAAATCCCGACAATAGCATTGCAGGTTTATAACCTACCAGGACGCGCGCCGAGTTGGACTCGTCGACGATTTGGAACAAATATTTTACGAGTATCACCCGTTAACAATAGCATTAATAGCGTTATTTAGTTTTCTCTATCTTGACGGATGTTACTCGTCTAAATTTCAATTCGAAGTAGCGCGCGCCGGGCCAGACCATTAACAATGGTCAAGCTATATCCAAAGCCCTTGCCCGCCTGCCTCCCGGATTGTGAAACAAGCGCGCCCGCAGCGGCGCGAAAGCACATGGTTTGGCGAATTATTTAGTAACTGAGTAGCTACAGCATACAGTTTTGTAGCTCAATCATTTATCGTGATTGCATCATTATTATTATCGCTATTAGAAGTTCACGCATTATTGTGCTAAACCATAAGCAGATATTTCTGTTATACCACGTAAAAAATAATGTTTGTTCATGGTTCAAAATTGTAAATTTATTTTATTTACAGTACAATCGGAAGAGTGTTTTGAAAAGTTCCCTTCAGACTAAAAATTGTTTGATAATTATAAATTCAGCCTTACTCATTTACTGTGGCTTATAAACATTTGCTGATAAACGCTTAATAGTTGATAGTTCAACCCTCAATTCCTCTCTTAATAATTTAGACCACAGACAGAAATAAAATTGTTATTAGATGAGAACAGCACCAACACAGTGAGATGCACAAGTTGCTCTATACAGCTAGAGCCCTTTTGCTTGCAGTAGCGCGTCACGCAGTACGCGTAGAATCAAGGCTAGGTGAAATGCACAAGCTTTAGGCTTGTTAACACCGAGCCATATCTCGGAGAATATATTACATACATTACATTTCCATGGTGCTGGCACTGTACATCGATGTTTGAGAATTGAGGTGAGGTAAAATACAATTTTTTAAAGTAAAAAAAGCTTTATGGGAACTTGAATCTCTCACTATCGTTGAACTCTTCCATGATCGCGACAAGTTGTGGTTCTACTATTGATGGCCCGATTACAGTTGATATGTTGTGAGTGGTGTAACGTTATCATTTGACCCTGCCAAATGTTTTTGCGCCCTAAAGCTTTTTGGCACCATTGAATCTTCGTACATAGTTTATATCATGGTGCATTTAACTGCCAAATCGGATAAGTTTTCGTAGGAAGACGTAAAATTTGAGAAAAAATAGCGCCCCCCTCAGGAGGTCTCCAAATCGTATCTTTATTCGAAATTTCTTGAGAAATGGCCTAAGCAAGAATCAAACATAACCGACTGTTGATCATCGAGAAGAGTGCTTTAGAAGAGCTTTGAGGTGCAGTGGCGTAACGTTGCATGCCCCCCGTAACGTGCAGTTTTGCTAGTTCCTCATTTAATTTTTTCAAAATTGTCCCACATCAAATGACGATTTTGCGCCCCTCTAAGATGGCGCCCTCCACACAGCGGGGTCAGCGGGTCCTTCGTTACGCCACTGTTGAGGTGATGTGTATGCTACCCGTGCATTAACCGTGTATTAAACTTCCATTTCTTTCAACTGTGTGTTAACCGTGCGTTAGCCGTGCCTTATCCATGCGTTAACCGTGCCTTATCCGTGCGTTAACCATGCCTTATCCGTGCATTCCTTAACTGTGTCTTAAATAACCATTGTGCGTTAAGTGTGCTTTAATCGTGCCTTAACCGTACGTTATGTGACCATCGACAGATTACCGAATTGCCGCCCATTAAACACAATTGAATCTCTTTTAACCCCTTATCATTCTCCTTTATGTAGTTTCAAACCATCTTAATCGATTTGTCAGTCCATATATTATGATATTTTGAGGTGCTGTGCCTTTGGGACCCCTGGCTCACTACACTTTTTCTGGCCCAGAGGTTGATCTCTTGGAGATAGTAGCCAGGATAGTTACGGGCACAAAGAAGCATTACTAGCAATTGTGTCCTTTACACAATTTGAACATTTTCGTGGCTAACTCATTGAACAACATCTGACTTAATATGCATTTAGTATTAAACAATTCAGTGAGTTATCTTTTCATGTAAGCGTACGCTGTACATTGTAGTTAGTAAATGCAAACCAAACTTCTTCGATCAGCCGCGCGCTAAGCCAGTGTTGCAAGGTAAAAATTGTGTATATTTTGTACATTTTTCAGTGTAAATTATTTTGTTAACTAATCACTTGAACGACGTATCACAAATTATTTTATTATAATAAAACCATTTCTGTGAAATGGTTATTTTGACTTTAAATAATTGAACTAAATATGAATTGATTGTGGGTATAAAATAAAATTTGTTTTACTTTAAAAAAAAAGTGTTTTACTAGCCTAATCTTTAAAAAATCTTTTAAAAATGGGGTTACTGAAATAAAACAGTGTTAGGTGATTTATCACTGGGTCAGACTACTAAAATAGTGAGCAATTTGTTTACCAAAGATAATTCTAATTTTATTTTACTTCTTTTATTTATTCTAACAAGGTTTTCACTTTTTATTTCACATTATCATGTAAATATATATTTTTAAATCAGTCATTAGAACTGCCGGCACCGTTCTGTGAATTTGTTAATTTTCATTTCATTCAGTATGATATTGGTGCAAGAGTTTAATTTCTGTATTTATTATGTGCACATTCATAACAGAACGAAATGTCTCGAATATGCTTGCTATTGCTAGTTATCAATTACTCATCTTTGAGACAAGAGCTCAGTACCCATGCAGAAGGAAATCAGTACACCCTCATCCTTGTAATAATCGGATTGCAGTAATTATTTACTGCACATTATTTACCATGCCCAGTTTACCTCAAACCTGGTTAACTGCAGCCATTTCTTTCCTTAAATGAAGGCTTAACATATATATTATTATTTTTATGCAAAATTTACCTCAAACCTTAATTTACTGCAGCTATTTATTTTCTTGCAAATTTTGCGGTAAATTTTAAAGGATTAAAACGAAATTTAATATTAGAATTTGGATTGATAGATGTTGTTGCTGGATATTACCATACTGATCATATTTTACACCTGGTATTCATGCTAATCTCACTGATTTTATAGGGATTATGGCTGAAGATGAAGGAGTAGGGGCAAAACAATTCGTTAGGAGGGGAGCCGTCAAACGAGGGAAAGTTCACGAAGTCAGAGACCACAAGTTTCAGGCACGGTTCTTAAACCAGCCCACTTATTGTGCTCATTGCAAAGATTTTATCTGGTAAGTAGAGCTGGACTATTTCAATAAACATGTTACATTTCCTTCAGAAGAATGATCAGTACATTGCAGTATTTAGTGTCAATTCACAAAATGATAAGATATTGGTTGCATCTCACCATCTTATCACTATATCTCAAAAATATAATTGATAACAACTCTTAATTTGCAGGGGAGTGTTTGGAAAGCAGGGCTATCAATGTACAAGTGAGTTACCTGCAGTGCAAGCAGTTGTAATATAGATCCATAATAATGTAATACGCTTTCTGTATTTGCCTTTAAATAATGCGTATACACATGGTGAGCTAGCAGTAACTGACCTGTCCTTGTTTGGATATTGGTGACGTAAGCACAAAAACCTTCATAGATTATATCTGACCTAGTAGACTTAACTACATAAAATTACATTTTTGATTCCGCTTTTAAAGAACTTGCCTGAATCCACCTATATTCTCTGTTACCATGGTTACATTATTCTTGCTGAGGTATGTGATGGTGCTACCCGTAGAAGGGCAAATTGTTGTATTTATAAACGCTTGAAAGGCCCAAAACTGTACAATCTCTTGTAAATTTCATCCAAGTTATCATGTATTTGTGTATATACCTGAAAAAATGTCATTTAAACTATATAATGAAGTGCATACTTGAGTCATGTAAGTAAAGGTAATGTCATTTAAACTATATAATGAAGTGCATACTTGAGTCATGTAAGTAAAGGTAATGTCATTTAAACTATATAATGAAGTGCATACTTGAGTCATAAAAGTAAAGGTAATTGTCCTATCTGTGAGTTTTGTGTTAGTCAATATCCGGAAGTAATGAAACTGATTTAATGGGTCCCAGAGGTAAAATTGAGCTATTGTCAGGAGTACGGAAGCCAAACAATTCCCTTACTTTCAATATTCATGTTAGGTAGCCCCCGCTTAGAATAACAAAGAGACTTTATTACATTCCATGTATGTAATATAATCAGTATCATGATAGTAGTCGATAACTAATATTTCATAATTTAATGATGATTTCACCTCCTAGTCCCACTGGGACTAGGAGGTGAAATCATCATTGGGACTGTCCCAGGCTGTATATATTGGGACTGTCCCAGGCTGTATATATTGGGACTGTCCCAGGCTGTATATATTGGGACTGTCCCAGGCTGTATATATTGGGACTGTCCCAGGCTGTATATATTGGGACTGTCCCAGGCTGTATATATTGGGACTGTCCCAGGCTGTATATATTGGGACTGTCCCAGGCTGTATATATTGGGACTGTCCCAGGCTGTATATATTGAGACTGTCCCAGGCTGTATATATTGGGACTGTCCCAGGCTGTATATATTGGGACTGTCCCAGGCTGTATATATTGAGACTGTCCCAGGCTGTATATATTGGGACTGTCCCAGGCTGTATATGATATTGTAACAACACCTTGCTTGGTGATGAAGATGTGACCGTGATTAAATTCGTTTCCGCCGAATTAACATTTCAATAGAGTAATATCATAACCGTAATTTGCATTACGTAGCTTTGAATCGTGCAGTGTTAAATTCACATTGGACAGATTCACATGGGATAAACTAACGATCTAAGTGTATTGTTTATCTATTAAAAGTGTTAAACTCTTACACAAACATTGACCCTCACTTCGTACAGACTGTCATGAGTCTTGGAATAACAATATTCTACTCAATTTGATTGGTTAAGTAGCCAATATCACTGTATCACGTGACTCAGCAATACAGTGACTTGAATCACACTTTCTAAAACTGTTATATTATGACGCAATGAAACTACCGGACTGCGATGTATGGGGACTTGCCACCCCATGGCAACATTAAAATATATCGACTCTGTTACATCGTTTCCTGTTATAGTTAGTATAAAACTCCGTTACAAAATGAACTAGGATCTGGCAATACTACACCTTAGATCAATAAAATATGATATAATAATGTATAACTGTTAACTAGACTTAAATAAAAGTCTGAAAGAATATAGAAAATAAACTGGTTTACCGCTTGAAAGTTTAACAATAAACTGTGAAAGTAAACTGTACCGATACGATCAAAGAAATAATGGCTAAAGGAGAAAGGCAAAAGGTAACATGCATAAGGAATTACAAGAGGGCTTCACACACACTATAATTACATGAAGTCATTAACTGTGAAAATATGCCAGTGTCTGAGGATACACGCTGGCTGACTATTAATAAATAATTTAAGATATCTATGTAAGATTTTCCGTTCAAAATTCTGGGTAATCAGTTTATCAATTAATAATTTAACATCATGAATAAATTCAGTAACTACTGAGGAAGATTTGCATATCCTATATAATTCACCTACAAATACTCCATACGAAGGTTTAACAGGTACGTTGGAGCGAAGGTTAGGAAAAGTGACGACTTTAAAACTAAAGTCACGTCGTTTGTCATATAATTTAGTGTAGAAACGATTGTTCAAAATATTAATGTCTAAATCAAGAAAAGTCGTAGATAAATTGCTAGAGTTTGTAACTTAGATAATCTTCAACTCTGCGGGGTAAATATCATTGCAAATAATATCGACAGTCTTATTGTTGATATTGGGGGTGGTTAAATCGTCAATGTATCGACTGGCGTGTTTCAAAGTGTGAACCACAGGGTTCTTGTTTTTAACTTGCAATGTGATGTAATTATGCTCGTACCAGTATAGAAAAAGGTCTGCGACCTGGGAAGCACAATCACATCCCATTGGGATACCAATTACCTGTCTGTAGATCACACCTCGAAACTTAACATAAATATTATCCATTAAGAATTTAAACATATCTATCAGGTCACTACATGTAAAAGACCACTTAGTCTTATTAACTCCCGACCATCTAGCTTTAAACTGGTCGTTGATATTGATAAAGTCAAGTTTCTTTTCCTCAAAACATAATTTAATTAAAGATGATAACTTCTCAATAAGTTTATCATGGGGAAGGTTGGTGTATAGTTTCTTAAAATCAAACGAATACACTGACTTAGCTGAGCAGGCATTATTAAGATAATTAAGGTTGGATGTCACTCTGTCTTTATTGTCGACAATCCAATAACCAGAAGCGTTTAAGAACTTAAAATTAAAATTATCTAGGTATTTTAAAGTAGTACCAAGCAGTTTAAATACCCCACTCAGAATTTTAGAAAGAACTTTAGTAGAAGATTTAACCCCAGCTGCAATGTACCTGAAATCCAAGGTCGGTTTATGGAATTTCGGTAACATGTGCATAAATTGTACCGAAAGATCATTCACCGGAATCTTAAACTTCTGGCAAAATTGCACATGCTTTCTTACAATATCCTCTTCAGAATCTGTGGAAACTTGATAAGTACTAGTGGAGGAAAGTTCATGCAATAAATTATCTAAATAGTACTTCTTGCAGACAAAAGAAACATTATTACTCGCTTTGTCTACGCTAGTCATAATAAAATGTTCTTTTAGGACATTAAGGTCCTCAAACTCCGAGGAAATAACAGTCTGATTCCGCTTACAAAATATCTTAGAGGAAAAAATCTTGGGTTTAAGAGTATCTAAAACTATGGCTCGCCAACCATCAAATAATTTAGTTCTGACACTGTACTTAGTTGCCAGACTTTTAATATATCTATGTAAGTCTGAATTAACACTCCTAAAAATAGCAAACTTATTTTTGTAAACTGGTTCAATAAAAGTGTAACCTTTCTTAAATAATTTTCTAAGTTTATTATTCTTAACAATATCTACGTTCCCAGTGATAACATGCCCGACACTCGGGTTGATGAAATCACTGTAATGACTACAAAAACAATCAACATTAGAGATAGGCTCATTACTTAAAATATGTTCCTTATAATTGGTAACATCAGCACGGATTGACTTCTCATATTTAAAACAGGTCGAGAATCTAAACTGAGGATTACTGAATTTCTTACTGAGATCCTTAAACGGAAATACTTTCATAGCGTCAGAATCATTTAATATACAATTTAATCCAAAATATTCCAACTCTTTAGATACAAAGTTAATAGGCACAAATTCTGAATATTTATTAACTGGTTTCTTATTAACTTTAAAATTATGTTTCTTAAAATCTAAAAATGAGATAGAGCGAGTTTTAAAATGGTTACATAAATCAATCACAATTAAATAACAAACTTTAATATCAGTAGTAGCATTGCCAATATTATTAGAAGTAAAGCTACCAAGGCCTATAACTTGATGCTTTTTAAGATTACAGATTAAAGCACGACATGCTCGAAGATTACCCTCTTTAAAAAGTTTCACTATATAGGAAAGTGTAATGTTAGGGTTAGAGTTGTTAGGGTTGGGAGGGGGTGAGGTTGTGGAATTTTTCGTTACATTTTCTATAGAAATATGTTACCTCGATCACAGTCTGTAGAGCTGTAGATAGTGTAACCATAGGTTACATTCCCATGGTTACATTTACGGTTCTTAGCTGCCTGTAACCATGGATACAGTACCTAGAAACATGTAACCATAGTTACAGTTCTTAGTGATACGTTACCATGGTTACATTTAAAGTCCCTAGATAACCATGTTTAAGTCTCTAGAAAGCAACAGGTTGCCATGGTTACACACCTTGGCATTAGTTGCACGCTGCACACAGTTTGGCTGTAATTGAAGTGTTGCACGCGCACCCGCTCTCACATCTCCCAAGATCATTGCAAAATCAGCCAATGAAATACCAGGAAACTTCAATATCAGCCAATGAGAAGCAAGTGTGTGGACCACGTGGTGTAGCAACCTCGCTTTGTGTTGTAATTACAGTCGATTGTTTATAATGGTTGGGTGTATGCATTGTATTGCGAGTATTCCTCTGTGTAGGCCTATGTGAGAATGAGAGAGAGAGAGAGAGAGAGAGAGAGAGAGAGAGAGAGAGAGAGAGAGAGAGAGAGAGAGAGAGAGAGAGAGAGAGAGAGAGAGAGAGAGAGAGAGAGAGAGAGAGAGAGAGAGAGAGAGAGAGAGAGAGAGAGAGAGAGAGAGAGAGAGAGAGAGAGAGAGAGAGAGAGAGAGAGAGAGAGAGAGAGAGAGAGAGAGAGAGAGAGAGAGAGAGAGAGAGAGAGAGAGAGAGAGAGAGAGAGAGAGAGAGAGAGAGAGAGAGAGAGAGAGAGAGAGAGAGAGAGAGAGAGAGAGAGAGAGAGAGAGAGAGAGAGAGAGAGAGAGAGAGAGAGAGAGAGAGAGAGAG